ATTCCTTTTGTAATATTCCTTCAGTAATATTATAAAACAGAATGAAGAGAAAATAACAGCATATAATAGTAGTAAATAATTCCTCTAGTGGTAGTAGATTATGTGTTTTTTTATTTCTAGCAAGATACATGCATATGGTACAGAATGGCTGTGACACAACTACAGCATGCTAGACACAATGTTTATATTCATGTTTTGTCAATACAATTATAAGAATAATTTAATAAATAAAATTACAAAGTAGCAAATGTGTTAGTGTAGTTATATAGCTAGCTTCATGGACTGTACTTGATAGTCACATATTTGGGTCTTAGATTCTTATATAAATAAAATGAATCATTTAGGGGTTGTGTCAATTAATGTATTATTGCCTATCATCACCCCTAGTCTTTTCATCTTACAGATATTGTATATCTGACTCTGGAAATTAGTAACCATCTAGCCATAAACATACCCAAGAGCATGATGTACTAGTCTGTTTTAACCAAATGTTGGTCATGAGCCTGAAGACTGAAGAACCTGCCCAGTTTGCAGGGTGTTTAATGTCTTGAGACTTGGGAACATATTAGTAATAACAATGCAACTAGCAACTTCTGTTATGTTTTCTAGATCCAGGCATTTTTAAATATGCCTACATTTGGTAATGTTAATTCAAGGCCAGTGATTTCTCAACTGGATGGAATTTTACCCTAGATGACATATGACAATGCCTGAGGCATTTCTCGTTGTCACAGCTGGTGCAAGAACAACAGTACTGAGGCTACAGGGCTGTGATTAACTACACTGCATAGGACAGTCCACAGCACAAACGTCTGTCGTAACAAGGTTGAGGAGGCCCAAGCTGAGGACTCTGTATGACTGGCACCTAGTAGGTGCTAGGATGTTGGGTTTAGGGATGCATAGTGGGCCATTTTAAGTATCCATCCCTGGGAATATTGAGGACTTTGTGTCCCTAGGATTGTCATCTAATAAGGAGGCAAAGTATGTTTCACAAGTATCCCTTGCTATGCCTGTGGTTTTGGTGTGGAGTTACAGGTATCTGTAGGAGGAAAAGACAGGCGTCCTTCTGACACAAGATGAAGGAACTCCTGCAAAAAGACAGCAAGCCAGGGATCATCTGTAGTCTGAATGTGACATTGTCCCCAGGTTGGTCCCATCTCTGATGTTCTTCATTAAAGATACTGATGAATACTTTATTCACCTCCCCATCTGCTGCAGAATGTTGCCTGACAAGGTTTGAGTTTAATTTTCAGAGTTGCTGTTCAGACCAGGATTATTGGTAGAAGACATTCAGTATATTGATTTTTTTCCTTTGTACATTAGGTAAAGGAACATTTATTTCTAAGAGAGGAAATGGCTGTGTTAACTACTGTAATGGCTTCCTTCACCACTGGGAATTTGCCATTATTAGAAACCCCTAATTATGACTTGAGTCTGTTACAGTGTAACAAAGATGGGAAGCATATCTGTAGTTGGCACAGACTATAAATTCTGTATCATTTTACTTTCATTATACATTAATCTTGAAATGTCCTATGACTGTGTCACGTCATGGTGGGTCACAAATCTGGAACACAAGGATGTATAGTGGCATAGTAGTTAAAAATCAGGCTGTCAGGCATGCAACTCACACTTACATCCAAATTTGTAGCCCCAGCACTTGTGAGACAGATGCAGGAAGATTGCCATGATTTTAATGCTCGAGTGGGATTTGGAGTGAAAGCTCATTGTTTCAGAAAAAGAAAAGAGAAACAAAAAGATTTAAAAAGAGACAAAGTCAAACTCAAGAGCATACAGCAAAACAGTGATTAGTGGAGGCTGGGAAGACTCAAAAGGGATTGGTCAAATGGCACAAAGTCTCAGAGCTCGTGGAAATGAACTAGGAATCGCTGCACTACTTGGATGGTGATTGTAACTCATACTGATGTATGGTATTCTTAAAATTCAATGAGAACACGTTGTAAGAGATATTACTGTCACACCCTGCAAAACTAGGTATCTGGGGTAATACTTAATAAGTTCAGTGTTTATGTGTGCATGTATGTATTTATGTTGTGTATGTCTGTGTATACACTTGGATGTGTTGCGATTCTGGATTCATGCGGCCAAACCCAGCTTTTACATGGATGCTGAGGATTTTAACTCATGTCTTCTTGCTTGGGCGGCAAACACTTTTTGCTTTCTACTATCTTCCCAGCCTTGTTGACATAGTTATTGGGTAATATACACCATAAGTATAAACAACATTTGTCATTTAATAACCAATTTACAGCATAGTTCACATCATCTTTAATCACAGGTAATGGATAAGTTTCAGTGCTTTCAGTAAAATGACTACAGGATATTAGACAACATAGACATGTAATAAACAGCTCAGGACCTTTCACCAAAAATAAGTAAGAGACTGAGCCAGGAGTCATGCTGCTTGGGCATCCCAAAGCTTCTGTATTTACAAGTCTTGTGATTTGTTAGCACAGTGGCTGGCTGTGATGCACAATGATCTCTTCATCTGTAAAATGGCCCTAATAATAAAGAAACCTTTAGGGTCATAGTGAAGCTAAGTGCTTTAGCATGTGTCAAGTACTTGGAGTGGGTCAACAGTCCCATCATCAGCCTCTGGTTTGTTGTTTCTATTGTGTTTCTGGCTCCCCCACTGTCAAGGAGTTAACTTTGAAATGAAAAGGTAACCATGTTTCTGCATGATCTTTAGTTTGTTTCCACACTTAGATAACAAATTGAAGGTATTAGAGTAAAACAATAATAACTGTCAATCTTACTAATCAAATACAGTTGTCAAATGCAAACTCCTTGATCATAAAAATAGATGACTTGAATATACCTTCATATACAACATAGTATCCCAAGCTCTTTTGGTATATGTACTGACACTGTACACTTGCCACAGGAAATCGTGTATTCTAGGATTGTATTTATTAGTTCCTTTCCAATTCTTAAACAATGTATAACTGGATTTCTGAAGCAGTTAGGTTTTTTTCTTTGATCATTTTCTCTAAGTAGTACCCAAAAAACTTTCAAGTTTTATGTCCTAAAATGATCACAACTTATAGTGGAAACAATTGTCCTTTAATTGTAGTTTAATTCTGTATTTTTTCATTAAACCTAAATTAGCCCAATCCCAGAGAGGCTCAAAATCATAAATGACTGTAAAATGTTATGGATTCTAAGTTAGGTATATTGGAGGACAAAGGTAAAGGCTGGCTGTTTACGTTCACTACTGACCTCTGGCATTTCAGTGAGGGATTGGAATAGTACAAAGGTATTGGTAAAGAATGCCAATTCTCTTATCAATTAGGAGGAAAAGAAAAACAACAACAAAAGAAAAACAGCCAGGGGATTCTAACTTTGACTCCAGAAATGGAATTTATTTCTAGGCTAATACATTGATTTAGCATGCACAGACGCACACATACACACACACATGTACACACACATATACACACACACATACGCATGCATAAACATATGCTTTTATGGGAGAGAGAGAGAGAGAGAGAGAGAGAGAGAACACATGCATAAACATATGCTTTCATGGGGAGAGAGGGAGAGGGAGAGAGAGATCTACCTACGATAGATTTATTATATTAGGCAATGCAGTTTCATTTCTTTGAACAACCTTTTGTCAGAATCATTCCAATAACCCTCATATACAAAAAAAAAAAAGCGATTGAAAGAGCCATTTCTTTACACGTTAAACGTGGGTTCTTGTCTTTTTTGTTAGGGGTTGAAAATGTCAGGTCAGTGGCCTTGGCTATGATCAGACCCCTTAATCCTGTTTTAATTATGGGTTCTTTGCTACTTCTGATTTTATACGAATTTGAGACTGACATCCAGACACTTATGATGATGTTTTAAATACTCAGTTTTTCAGAGGAGTCACCTCAAAGTGACCTTAAGATGAGAGTCTCTAGACATAATTACAGAGAGGAAGTAACTGCCAGCCTAGACTGAGTGGATGGTTTTCAGGAATATCTTATTTTCAAATTTTCCAGTTAAGCACTGTGGCCCTTTCACATTCCTGCAAGCTTGAAGAGATGCAGGAGGGGCACTTAGGCACTTGTCACGTGCATAGCACGTGCTGATTCTCACAACTACATGACTGAAATCCCTCTGTACCAAATATGACTAGCCACATACTTCTCCCAGGAGAGCTGGCCCATAAGTCTGACCTTTGCCACCATGCTCTGTCTGTTTGAAGACTAGTTTGCTAGTGGATTGGTGCCATTTGTCATCGAGGATATGAATATTTATTATGCATAATTACTTTGTATTGCAATCTAGGAGATTATTTATCTTTGGGGGCTCTGCTCTATAAAGACATAAGCTTAAAGCATGATATTTGATAAGATGAAATTAAATTCAGTGATAGCCATTGGATAACATCTGAAATGTAAATAAAATATCCAATAAAAAATATTCTGTTCCCAAATATTAAAAAAAATGTTTCTCTAACTTTACAATGAACTTTTTTCTGTGCTCTGTGCCCTATTGATAATCTTCATCAATACTATGGTTTCCATGCTAAATGATACATCTCAAATTATTTAAGTGTAGTATTTCTCCAAAACTTTCACAAATTTCTATATATTAAGACATCCATGAGGTGGACATGTTGAGAATGAATAATGCCTAAGAATATTCTAGACCTGACATTTGTTGAGTTTAACATCCAGCCTGTTCAATTATTTAAAATAGCCTACTGAGTTTCCAAGTGTCTACAGAATGTTTAAAGTTTTACAGTTTTAGCCTCCTGAAGTGGTCTTTTTTGTTGACTATTACCAAATTCTATCTCCAGAGAGCGTATTGTTGTGTGGTAGATTTGCTGGTTGCATGTTACAGAGAATAGGGGGTGAGTAGCCTCTCTTTGGCAGAAACATAACTCTTGGAGGTCTAGCCACCTCATCTTGCCAATTGCATCTGCTTTAGGTCATATGAGAAGGTGAACTGATAGTCAACCCTCCTCTCTTCACTCTTTCCAACAGAAAGGAGAACCTGATTGTTATGCACTCTCCCTGGAATCAAGTGAGCAGCTCACCTTGGAGATCCCCCTGAATGATTCTGGCTCTGCTGGCCTTGGGGTTAGCCTAAAAGGGAATAAATCTCGAGAAACTGGGACTGACTTGGGGATTTTTATCAAATCCATCATCCATGGAGGTGCTGCTTTCAAGGTAAGGGTGTTATGTTGGCCTGGATGCTGATACTTGGGAATGGGGCTGCGGTGCTTGGAAGCCCAGATAGAGGCAATCGCTAAAGGATGGGAACCATTGATGCTTTCCTGCTACAACCTGGAAGTGTGTGTGTGGACTGAACTGATCTAGGCACTAGTTCCTTATGTTTGTACTTCCTAAGATCTGAAAGTCATTACTGAATACTGTTCTTTTAATTACTCCATTAACAGTCCTCTGAATTTGTAACTTAGCAGAGTATCACCTGTAACTATATAATGAGAAAAACAAAACTAGAAATGAATTGACATGAAGGCAACAAATGGAAAAGTTGTGCTTGCAAAAAATTCAAGCTTAGTAGGTCTCAGAATGACTGTAGAATAAAGTTCATTCTCCATTCTTCACACCTGAAGATAACCACAGTGCCCAGAATGTGGATTCCCCTTTAAGCACTCAGTAAGCTTATAAAAGGGCAGAAAGGAGAGAAGTTTCTGGCCCCACTCTTTCATGTTGGGGTGTCCTGTGAGACCAAAGCTGATAGCATGGTCTAATAGTTGGCTGGATTGCCTGTGTTCAGATCCAGCACTACCACTGCTTGGTGTCAATGTGAAACTGTGGACATGGATATTGGCTAGTTATCTCTCATTTTCTAGTCCATAGAGCCTCAGGGATTAAGAAATTAATGCACACAACAGGCTGAGAGAAGGAAAGTGATTGTAAAAAGGGACAGCATGCTTGTGTCCCTGATCACCATTGACTCATGCTATGTAATGATATCCCAGAGTTGCAGTCATACCTTCATTTCTCTCTTCCTGTATAAACACAGGCAAATTACTCTTCCAAACTGGCCCCGATGCCTCGCTTAGGAAGTCAGTAAAGTTTGTAGTGCTTACGAGCTAGTGCTGTGCTTTAAGATACAATACACCTAGAGCAGCAGCTCTCAACTTTAGTGTGCAGCCCCTTTGTGGGGCAGCATTTCAGATCTCCTGCATATGAGATATTTACATTATGATTCACAACAGCAAAATTACAGCCATGAAGCAGCAACAAAATAATATTCTGGTTGGGGGTCACCACCACATGAGGAACTGTATTAAAGAGTTGCAGCATTAGGAAGGTTGAGAACCACTGATGTAGAGTCTTTGGCTTGGTGTCTAACAAAGCCTCTAATGAATGTTGCAAATGAGTGTAAACTATGTGTACCCGCTCAGGCCAAACCTGAGAAGACCTACTTAGATCTTACGAGAGTAGTCAAGGTCTTAGAATTCTTACTTTAAGGAAGCGCTATCTTTCTATGCCCTCCACTTCCACCTTTTCCTCAACTTAAACACTAAGCTGATGTCTTCTTCCTTGGAGCATGGAGCTTGCACTATAGACAGGCAATTCTCTAATTTAATCTCCAGTTCAGTTAGCTTGTGTCACATCATCAATAATCATAAAAGTTCAGTGATTTAATCAATAAGCTTTTATTTTGTTCATGGCTCTGCAGGGCAGCTACTGGTGGTGGTAGAGGCTCTGGTGCAGGCCGGGTGTTTTCTTTCACATTGTAGGTCTACAGGTATAACATGTTTTGCATATTTCACCAAGCCTTTGGCATTAGGCTAACAGTAGCCGTGGGAGATGCCTTACAGTAGTTGTACTAGTGAAACTGGCAGAAGTGTGGGTGTGGAGATCCATAAAGCAATGAGGTCTATGAATGAATCTAAAATACCTCTAATGTGTCTCAAAGAAGACAACCAGGACGGGTGTGGAAACCAAGTGATAATGGTAACAAGCGTCAGCACCTGTTATACTTACGGCTTTGCATATGCTAGCCCCATGAGAATTATTTCAAATGGAATCTCTAATTTTATTCATTTTCACATTTTTATTATGTCAGTTTATCAAAAGAGGGACTGTACATGACAGTGATTTCAAGGCTCCACTCTTGTGAGATAACCTAGACTTGCTGAATACAAAATTGGACTCATAGCCTATGCTACCCTGCTTTAGAGCAAACACAATTTCAGGCTATCTAATTGTGTACCTGCAGTCAGGGGCTGCTCTCGGGTACTTTTCCATTATGCTCATCCTTCTTAGCAAGCTGTCGAAGTGCCTGCTTTGTTTAAGGACAGGTGCTATGCTTGTGGACACCCCCTTGTGTTATTCTTCTCATTGCTAATGACAGCTCCTTCTTGGAAATTAAAAGCAGACATCTTTGCTTTTGCTTTTGTTTTTTAAATGGGCAATAACTTCAGCTCCAGCAGATATTGGTGTGTCGTTTAATATGTGAATCTGTTTGTGTAAGTGAGCAGTTCCTTACCTAAGCAGTTTCTAATAGTCCTATTTCTTGCAGAGAGATTTCACTTTACATTTATGTAAATTTTCTTCCTGACATGAGTCTGCTGAGTCAGACTGTCACACCATTGAAAACTACTGGACAGCATATTTATAGCTGTTCTTAAACAGTAAGAGGCATCAATCATGAATTTAGCCTTGTTGTGAATGGTTGGTATCCATTTGTCTTGTTTACCTCATTCACTGGGCAGAATACAGGCCTGCGCTTTGTTCACAAAAAAACTGGTAAAGACTAAGGAAATTGTACTTTTTAATTTTTTTTCATGCTAGGCCAGTAATCCACTGTTACTCCTCAGAAGATTGCCACCTGTTCCATGAATCTGGATTATGTCTTACAAAAATTGTTTGGAGACTTTGTTCCTGTCCTGGTTGAAGAGAAACAAATGTAACAGACTGTGGTGTCCCTGGGGCAGGGGAGATGAGCACTGGGGACATCCATGTTAGCATCTGGCCCTAGGATTTTACCTGAAATCAACAAAGTAGTGTTTTTCTACTGGAGCAATCTTTGTCTCTCAGCCCTTCATACCACTAATTGGTTCTCAAGGTGTTTTTCCCTTAAGGGGAGGTGGATTGCTGAAAACTAAACTACTTTGAAAAGTATGACCAAATTCTTCCTGTGGATTCTGAGTGCTGTATTCTCCTGAGAGTGTCTGTTGATATAAACAAAGGCAGACCAGCTACTGCCAGATGTAAAGTCTCAGAATGACTCTGATTCTAATTGAGGACCTTTTGTCTCTTCTCTCACCTACCAGGCTGCTGCTTTCAAGCCTCTCTTGTTTCCTCTTTGGGTTATTTCTAATAAAAAGGCAAACTTCTATTTGCTTCTAAACACATGCAGCTATTCGGGTGCTCTTTGGGAAACAAGCAGGAACTTGAGCTATTTTCAGGGCAGGTTGAATTGCAGGTCTACCACACTCAAAATTCTCCAAATACTTAACTAATTTGGAACATTGGATATACAATGTAAGAAATGACACCCAAGACAATAAGGGGGAAATAAAGAGAGCCCGGAGACTGAGATGTGATTACACCCTGATGTCAGGCTCTGGTCTCCACACACATCTACACAGCAGACATGCGCAGGCATACTGGAGCTCCATCTTTTTGGAGTACGCATACATGCAGCACTAACACAGACACAGACACACATACACACACACACACACACACACACACACACACACACACACACACACGAGCAAGGGAAATAACACCCAGAAATGCAGTCTCTGTAGGTCCTTGCAGAACTCTCTGAAGCCTCACTGTGAGCTGTATCACGACATTCACAACATGCATGGGCCACAGCAGAACCAGGCTACCTATTAGAGTACAGAGGACAATTCCCTTCCACAGTGCACCTGTTGCAGGCTTCTAATTTTATTTTAGTTTCTGTCATTCTTCCTGGGCATTGTACCAAAGGATGCTGTAACTGCTTCTAGAAACAAAGTATCCCGACTATGAGAGTATGTGTTAGTTTCTCTACAGACAGGAACCATAGCTAGGATAAAATTATGATGTCCTTGAGGATGCTCTCTTCAAATTCATTTTTGTGGTTGAAACTTCAAGTAAAATGTGCTGTTGATGTATTAAATGGAAAGAAACATCAGTTCTGCATTTGGAAAAATATCCCTTTTTTTAAAAATCTATGTCAACACCTGACTTTGTATTTTCTCCAAGGTCACACAGGCATAGTCTCTACAGTGACTTTGAGAATTTACATTCTTAATCACTTGCTAAATATTTTCAAGTTCAATGACTTTCTTCTGCTTTGCTTTTAATGAACTATATTATATAAAATTTGATATATTTTTTGTTATTAACTTTATATTTATTGCTTATACTTACTTGGGCTGCTTTTTTCTGAAATAATTTTTAGAAAAGATAATTTTTTATAAATTTATGGAGTTATAATCATTACCATGAGCATGGGAATTGCATGCAGTATATCACATAGGTTCTGGCTTGTACTTTTTACATTTGAATATGCTGATGTTAGGAGTGGAAGATACACTATTGATGCCCTGAAATAATAAGATAAAAATTCAAATTCAAGAGCTTTTTAAATTTTATTATTATTATTATTTGCTAAGGGAAACAAATGTCATGTATCAGTAGATGGATTATTTAAGGACTCTTAAACAGAGAGAATGCATTTAAGAATGTTACTCTGTACAAAAATAATTTAGCCCAGTGTGTGCTTAATAAATACTACTTGATGATGGTGAAATTAAGTATAAGAAAAATGCCTAGCTTAGCTAATTGCAAATGTACGCACCCAGAATGTGAAACAGACATCATTTAAGTAACTTGATTTGGTGTGCTCAAGAAATTTCGGCTGATTCTTCTCAAAGGTGTAGAATTTCATAGAATCTTCACTATTTCAGAGTGGATATGAGAGTTTTAACTAGTACAAGTATTCACAACAGTCACTTTCAAATGATTAAGCTGAATTTAGGGGAAGACCATGCATATGAGCAGTAGATCTGGAAATAAGGGCCAGATGTGAGGTCTCTACATACTGGCGAGCATTTAGTGGTATCACACCCTCTTAACAGAGCCCAGAGCATCCAGCCTGAGTAATTTTCACCTCTATTTCTGCCAGTATCTATAAATCATGTGGCATATCTATAATTAATGAATCCAAAGGAAGATAAAAGGGACAGCTT